ATAAAATAATAGTGAAAGATAGATTTCCACTACCACTAATAGAGGATCAACTCGACAAATTACAAGACGCTCGAATTTTCACTACCATGGATTTGAAAAATGGATTTTTCCATGTTGCAGTCGAAGAGAATAGTAGGAAGTATACATCTTTCGTAACCCATAATGGACAATATCAATTTCTGAAGACACCTTTCGGACTTTGCAATTCTCCAGCAATATTCCAACGTTACATAAATCGAATTTTTAGTGATCTTGAAAAACAAGGAATTGTTATGTTATATTTGGACGATTTGATAATTCCTGCAGAAAATGAATTTGAGGCGATGAAGAAATTGAAAATGGTTTTGAAGGTGGCCAGTGATTATGGACTCGAAATAAATAAGAAGAAATGTCAGTTTTTAAAACGAAGAGTTGAATTTTTGGGTCATTTCGTCGCTGTTATTACGAAGGGACCTAACTCGATTTTCGACGAAAATGAGTTTTTCCCATATTTAGGCATGAGAAGACCTTTTCTATGTCATGACAAAGTGGCATATCTCAATATTACATGGTTTATACTTTAAGGAATGATAACAATAAGGCCTATCTCAGAATATACATAAAAATATTTTTACGTAAAGGCCAAAGTTCACATTGGCCCCTATGCCACATGTTTCATGTGTGTCTTGCTGGGCGAATCTTGATATATGCCTTTACGTTATAATTTTTTAGCAATAGATGGAGGTAAGTTTTCACATAGGCCACTGAGATAATATATTATTATGTATCAATTATCATAATTTCATTTCACAAAGACAATCGATCGATAAAAATTCTATCATGGCCGCTGCTCTTTTTTACACTGTGTTAAACTGCGAGAATTTGAAAGAAATAAGCGGAAATAAGCCTACGTTTTTTTTTCTCCTAATCACGGCCAAAATGAAGGGGACTCAGCACATAGTGCTATTAATTACGCAGTCAAGAAGGCTGGTGACTTATTTACTCCAAGCCAACTAGTGCCAGTATTTCGTCTAGCCAGACAGAAAAAACCTTATCAAGTTTATCCATTACTGGTACTGGTGGGGGACGTTTCCACGTCAGCAACTAGTCCCCAATGGGACCTTTTTGCCAACCCCAAGTGTTTTCAATGACTGATGTGGTTCGCTCAAGAGAGCTGGCTAACATCCTTTTCATGCACCGCCCATCAGCTCTCTTTTCAGAGTTTTTCAGCTGTGTTTTGTAGGCTAGTAATGTACTTACTACCATATGCGCAGTGGCAGGCCTGCTAACTATCATCGTTAACCCCCGAGACCGAGGTCTACTTAAGCAGCTGGCCCGCTCTCACGCTCAGCTGGTAGTTTTCCACACCCACCTACATACACGTAGGATAGTAATGTACTCACTACCATATGCGCAGTGGCAGGCCTGCTAACTATCATCGTTAACCCCCGAGACCGAGGTCTACTTAAGCAGCTGGCCCGCTCTCACGCTCAGCTGGTAGTTTTCCACACCCACCTACATACACCGTCCTACTTCTTCTCTGATGCTCACAACCACATCATCATATCTTTCTGCGTGTTCTGTGTAGGCTTTGTTACTAACTCCATGCGCCACTTTAGGAGCAGCACTGTTAATTGGAACGCAACAGCGAATCGTGCAGGACTATCCCCAGCCGATGCTCCGAAACTTTACAATATTTAATTCGTAAATAAAATATTGAAAAAAGTTCCTTGCCCGTGTTGGAAATCGAACCCACGACCTTGCGGTCGTGAGACGGACGAGTTTATCCATTAAATTTCGATGACTTTTTGAATTTCAAAAAATTTAGCGAAGATTATAGATTCAAGTCTATAAGAACTGACGACAATGGCAAGGATTTTGAATGGGCCGATATCTTTGAGTTTTCAGTAAAAAAAGATAGTCCAAATAAGATGTTTTCTTCAAAGCCTGGAGACTCAATATCGCGCTCTCACTATATAAATCGAAATACTGGCATTACTATAACTCTTTCGAAGTTGAACAAAGGACCCAGGCCGATATCTTTCCTAAAATACAATGACTTAATGGCACTTTGTACTGGTAAAAAGCCTGTCATTAGATCTCCTGACGATGTTTTGTTTTACAGTTCTTTGCCGCACACACAAACATAGTATATCTAGTTACCAAGGTTAGTCAGAATTCATGTGTCAACTCAGAGTACCATTTCAGTTAAAAACTGTTAAAGATATCACCTAATACTTAGATTTTGAGATGGATTTTTTTTGTTTCATATGTTTTGTAAGTTCTTTCTCAATACAAATGAATATACTGAAAAATCGCCTACCTTTTCATTGAAGAACACATATTTGTAAGAATTGATAGAGGGGCCTATCTGGTTTGATGTAGAAACTAGAACTATTATTATTTTCACGAATGGGCCTATCTTAATCAATATTTTATTAAAACGAAACACGTGAAATTTGAAAAAATATATATATGCCTCATTATTCTACATTGATTTGACTACGTAATTTTGAAAGAATGAATTGAAATGAGACGTGAATACCAGTGATACAGCCAAAATGAACAACGCAGTTTTCTTTAAACCACTCTTCTGAAAAGTTGTGAATATCGAGATAGGCCTATTCGTAATGACAGCGACGATTTGATAGAAAATGGACAGATATTTCCTTCTAAAACTAAAACTGAAGCGGTACTGAAGTACCCAGAACCTACGAACATCAAACAAGTTCAAAGTTTTCTAGGTTTAACAGGATACTTTAGGAAATTCATCCAGTCATATTCCTTGATTGCAAGACCGTTGAGTGATCTCACGAAGAAAGATCGAACATTTCGATTCAATGATTGCGAAAGAGTAGCATTCAATAAACTGAAAGAAATATTATCGAGTAAACCTGTCTTGAATATTTATCGAAGAGGTGCTGAATTGGAGTTGCACACAGATGCAGCACAAGAAGGATATGGAGCTATTTTAATGCAAAGATCCTACGAAGATAATAGTTTACATCCCATATATTATATGAGCAAAAAGACGACAGACGCTGAGAAAAAATACAGCTCTTACCAATTGGAATGTTTGGCAATTATAGAAGCTTTAAAGAAATTTAGAGTTTATCTCTTAGGAACAAAATTTAAAATAATAACAGACTGTTCTGCGTTCCAGAAAACGATGTACAAGAAAGATCTCACTCCACAAGTCGCCAGATGGGCACTACTCCTGGAAGAATTTGATTATACCATAGAGCATCGGTCAGGAGATCGTATGCGCCATGTTGATGCTCTAAGCAGGTACCCGATTATGGTTATCACAAGGGATATTGCGTCGATCCAAATGAGAAAAGCACAAGATGATGATCCAGAGTTGAGAGCTATTAAGGAAATATTGAAAGAGAAGCCATACGAAGACTATCTATTGAAGAATGATGTAATTTACAAAGTTGTAAAAGGAAATGAATTATTGGTTATACCCAGAAGCATACAATCAAAGATTATCAAGGAAGCTCATGAGGAAGGACACTTCGCTGCAAGGAAAACAGAAGAAATTCTTCATAGAAATTATTTCATACCGAAAATGAAAGAGAAGGTTGAAAGATGTATTCAGTCATGTGTTATATGTCTATTAGCAAACCGAAAACGTGGAAAACAGGAAGGATTCTTACAACCATTGCAAAAAGATGATATTCCTTTACAAACTTATCATGTTGACCATTTGGGACCACTGGAATCTACCAATAAAAACTACAATCATATTTTCGCTGTTGTGGACTCATTTACGAAATATATATGGCTCTATCCGACGAAGTCGACTACTAGTAAAGAAGTAATAGCAAAGCTAGAAGTACAGAAGAAGAATTTTGGGAATCCATTAAATATAATTTCAGACAGAGGGTCAGCATTCAATTCTCAAGAGTTCCAAGACTATTGTAAAGATGAAGGAATCAAACATTTCATGATAACTACCGGTCTTCCGAGGGCAAATGGACAAATTGAGAGAGTGAACTCAATAATAATTTCAGTTTTGACCAAATTGTTAAACGAAGATCCTACCAAGTGGTACAAATACGTAGATCAGGTGCAGAGAGTTGTGAATGCCTCATTTCAAAGATGTATCAACACCACACCATTTGAATTATTATTAGGGGTGAAGATGCGAAATAAGATGGAAACTGAAATTAAGAAAGCGATAGAAGAAGAAGCACAAGTTTTGTTCGAAGAAACAAGAGAAGACTTGCGAAGAGAAGCTAAGAAGCAGATACTCAAAGTCCAGGACGAAAATAGGAAGACATACAATTTGAGAAGAAAAGATCCTAACAAATATGGAGTTGGTGATTTTGTAGCTATTAAACGAGTTCAACAAGGCCCAGGACTAAAACTGAAGTCGAAATATTTGGGACCTTATCGAGTTACGAAAGTAAAGGGCCATGATACATATGACGTCAAGAAAGAAGGATATCACGAGGGACCAGTCAACACATCTACATGCGCCGAGTACATGAAGAAGTGGAATGAAGAAGATTCATCCGAGACGGACGAATTTCAGGATGGCCGAGTTGTAGGATAGCATCCTGTATATAAATGAGATGAATGAAAGAAGTAATGTATGACGTGTGATAGTAGAAAGACGAGAGTACGACGTGTCAAGAAGATATGTGTGTTATTTGTTGCATTTTAGCGGTATTTATGTTGAAATATACCTATTCGTTCCGTAAAGTTGCCTCAATCCTATAGTATTGTCATGACAACCACTGGCGAAAAAAGATTGAATGGTATTCCTGTATTCCTTTATCGCCCTAGAACGCTAATGTGTTACTTTACGCCCGCGAATCCAGGTGATACAAATGGAAAAAAAAATTGTAATGGTGTCCAGGCGCCATCTTGAAACATACATATTTTCAACGAAATCAAAATATAGCCCTTGAACTACCTACCATTAGTGCAAAGGAATTAAAAAAATCCTAGCCCTTCAACTGTTCAGGTAATTGTCATGGATTACTACTTGAATTTTTCCTATTATTTTTCAGAAAAATGTGGCTGAACGATTCAAGAACGCGAGTATTGGACGACTCCGACTTGGACAGCGTCAGTAGCGGCGAAGAGATCCCGATTTGGATTAGGGGGGAACAAAGATGGGTTTCTGGGATAACCGAAGATACCACCTGCCAAGATGTCGTCGGAGTTCTTCTCCAAGACGAGGAAAGAAGGGTGAGGAAAACAATTTCTTTTGAAAAATAGTCGAGTGCCTATCATAGTAAGCAGATCTTCACGGAAAAAAAGGAATTGTTGAATCAAGCAAAATTTAATTGAATGGAGCAAATAATAGTGTCATATAGGTATGCACGACAAAATATAATCTTGAAATGAGTAAATCTATATCTTGTTTCAGAGCGAATTTGAAGTTTGAATCAAGTAAATATGTCTTGCATGAACTCTGGATCTTCTTCAATCAAGCACATCCATGAATGGTTTTGTAGAGATGTTGAATTGGCTTAAAAAATCATTTTGTTTGATTCAAAATAATAAGATATTGCTTCAATCAAATATTTAGTTGATTCAACGAAATATTTGGTTGACTCAATGAAATATTTGTTGGATTCAATGAAATATTTGGTTAATTCAATGAAATATTTTGTTGATTCAAGAGAAACTATATGTCCATTCGACAAATTGTTTTGTTGAACCAAATTCAATATTCGGGAATTTCCTGAAATGTCCCATCAATAGAATAAACAAAACTAGGAAAAAAGTCGACTCCTAGCATAGATCATCAGTCTTTACTTCTCTTCAGCTGATGGAAAACTATTTATAGGATTGCTAATCATCCAAAGTTCGATTTATCTAGTTGATATTTCAAAAACGAAGAATCAGGCTTCACGTATATAATGAATTCGAGGCAGGCATAGACGAGGCGAAATGATCGCCATCTAGAGGCGAAAATTTTAATTGATGTAGAATGAACAAAATATTTCATTGATATTACATATTTCGTTGCTCTATTCAAGCAAACGATCCGTTCGAAAAGAATTTCATTGCTACATCGGAATAAGAAAACTTGTATGTTGTTCCAAAGATATATTCCCATCAAAATGATCATTATTTGATCAATTCAACAAAATGTTTATAATTGAATCAACATCGACATTATGTTGGATCAACATTTGTTTTTGATAAAACCATATATTTTGTTGATGGAATTGATATTATACTGTTGATTCAATTAGACTACATTCTTGATTTGAACAAGCTGCTTCCATGAAATAATCATGTATCTGGTTGATTCAACAGAAAATTGCTTAGTCCAACAAAAATAATTCGAGCATAAATAATTTGTTGATGCAACAAATCTTTTTTTTTCGTGTTGAAATTTCTTGAGTTAAATCAAGAAATGATATGTTAAGAAAAACGCCGAGACAAGATTTTTCGAAAATTCTTGACTTTTTGTCAAGACGAGAGAAGAAGTTGTTATCAAGACAAGTATTCTTGTCTTGGCGACCCCTACTCTTAGATCTTCAATTTGTTTGGCAGTGTGGTGCTTTTTGCTGATGTATATTTGTCTATGAATTCTAAACGATTTCATAAATGTGCTTCAGTCGTGAGTTAGTAACATTTCTTGAAGGTCAATCAAATGAGGAAAAAATGAAAACCTTCGAACAACTATTCCTCTAAAACCAATTGGCAGAACGCTGTATTTAATCTATGGTAAAACCATAGCCAGTTCGAGCTAACAAATTAGACCTTGTCTACTACAAGGAGGGTCCGAAGTATACATCTCTAACCATCAATTATCAATGACTCGTTCTCCTCTCCTTTACACCGATCATTCTGTTTGGCCCAACCAGAACCAGTTTGTGGAAATAATAAATGAAGCTATTAAAAAAATAGAAGATCGAAAACAGGTAGCTTTCAATAATGAGTACGCGAACATGCAACAAGTGGTACTAATGAATGAGTACCTGTGGAGGAGATTCATTGCCAATGTAAATAAAATGTTTCGTTCAAGTGAATTAGCAGGTATACGAGATAAGCGAGCTTTTGGTACAGATAAAAATTCTACGGATGTTGACTTTTTTAAACAGATATCCAGGTAGGTATAATACCTATTCGAGGATTTGAACATCAGAAGAAATAAATAAACTACCTACCTACCTTTCATTCATAGAAATAAAATGTTATTATCAAGGATTTTTAGGGAACCTACCTATACATATACAAGGTATATCTTTATCAGTTGACGCGATCTATATATACAGTGTGTGCGATTTCCACCCGCAGCACCCCTCTGCTTTTGTTTGTTGAAAGGGTCAAAATTTCAAAAACAGCTATGTGGCAATTTTTTTCCAAAACTGTGACTAGCCTATATTGGATTCAGGCATAAATGAAACATCCCCATACGAAATTTGAACGCAATATCTCATATGGGGTGTTAGTTATTCGATGGCAAATTTTCATATTTGTGATTTTTCGATTCACCCTGTATCAGAATCGAAGAATTTGATATAATCGGTGTAGTAGTAACACATAGAATACTTAGATACGAAGTTTCATCGTTGTAACTTCTACAGATAGATCTCTCTAGGTGAATCAAAAATTAATGAAAAAGAAGTTGAACATTTTTTTAATTATAATCCATATTTTTTTCTGGAAATATAAATTATGGTAACTAATTCGAGGTAATATTCTCTATACATAACACTTTCCATTGTCATCTCTTCCATTTCTCCAAAATCTGTGTAATAGTATGATCACATCAAGTATCAGTATTTCTTATTGCAGTCTTTGGAAAGTGTTTGTCTGTCATTTTATTTGTATCATATTATTCGATAGTTTACATGAGTAGTTTTTACATGAGTTTTCAAAATGGTGAACGTCAACTTTAGTTTTGTTAGTTTTTGATTGACCTAGGGACAACTTCGTATCTAAGTATTCTATGTTCTTCTTCATTGAATTACCAATCCACCGGTAATATCAACTACTCAGATTTTATTACAGGGATACAGGGTGAATCTGAAAAGCGAGAATTCTGAAATTTGCTATTGATTAAAAATCAATCATTTCAATCATTTCACTCATATACAATGTTTTTAGATTCCTTTGGGACATATATCATTTCTAGAGTTGACCCAACTCCCTGTGATGGAGGTGGGGACAGATTTGTCGAGTTTGGTATCATCTGATAGCTCTTGTTAAATTATTTGCTACGTATTTTATATTTTTTGGTTCGACGGGCATTTCTTGAAATGATTGATCGTTTTCATACTAATTATAAAAATTGTTCTGCGACTACACTCGTGCCATCTATCACGAATCCAACAAAATAGTCTACAATGCGTATTTTCGATAAAAATGAGGGTTTTCATTTCTGTTTCTGAAGTTGTCCCTCACTCCTTCCTAGGGGTGAAAGACATATTACGTTTCCCTGATCAATAATTTTTGTTTCTTTACAGGGTAGACCAATAAGTACATCACAGCAATACCAAATAACCGAACGATGGAGGGGTGTAGAACAACCGTTGCAAGAATTTTCCAAAATTTTAGATATCTGGAATGCCTGGGGTACAGCACAATCAGAAGTAAGGATTGACCCAACAGAAAAATTATTGTTACTTAAATTTTTTTTTACTTTTTAACAGAAAAGTTGTGAGATGAGCGTACCTACTTTTGAGTCACTACGTTTGTGGATTCGTGTGTAAAAACTCACTTGACATTCATAGATTTTGCACTTGCAGGACTATATTATGTATGTCTTTTGTCCCGTTAGATTTTCCAATATTTTCCAAATCTTCCCTTCATTGGTAAAAATGAATGAATCAGTATTTCACGAGCGCACTGTATGAAACATGTTTTAGACCACATTCGACTATATCAAACGAATCCATTCAATTTTTTTTAGGTCAAAATATCTATACGTTAAATTTTCCAATATTTTTCAATAGATAGCAGATAACTTACTTACATGTATGCACTGATGATGACTTAATAGTCGAAACCGCTCTGCTACGAGTAATATAAATTTGAATAGAGTATCTTGCACGAAATACAACATTTCCCTTCATTGGTAAAAATGAATATATTCAGTATTTTACGAAAGCATGAAACGTGTTTTAGACCACATTTGACTATGTCAAACGAATCCATTCAATTTTTTTTCAGGTCAAAATATCTTTACGGAGAGTGAAACACGATATGCACAGGCCGCCAAGCCGAAGAACTAGGAAATCAGATTCGAGCACGTGGTCAGACAAGGGGGCCTTCAAAACCATTCACCCTCGTAGATTGCAAGCCCTGCAAAACGAAAAGCAGCCATCCAGCACGGAGGAGCTGCTCAAACTAGTCCTTGCGCAAGGAGAGGTCATCAGGAGGCAATTGAAAAAATTGAGGTTCGGAGGAGTTTATAGGAATATTTTGAATTGACTCGGCCGTTATATACTTGATAGAAATCCATAGCAAATGTAAAAACTTCACAAACGATAAGATTTCTACAACATTCTTAATCACACGACATGTTTCGCTAACACAGTAGCTTCATCAGGTAATGTAAAGAATGAGTTGATTTTTTGCCAAAATTTAACAATGGGCGTGTACACCTTAGTTGAACTTTTAACTCAAACCATGTTTATAATGATCCTTTTATGCATAAATAATGATTGACGACATAATTCGATCCAAAAATTAACTGGAATGTTTTATTTTTGGACATAAATAATAGTATCTTCTGAAAACGGACCCTCTTATGACGTAGAAACCTCATCTCGCCATAGTTGAAAGAAAATACCAAACGCCCGACGGAGACTGAGGCAACTGATATATTAATTCTTTCATCTGTGATCTCGCGCTAATTCACTCTGTCAGAAATCATGTATCATTCATCTCTGTCTGGAATAGTCTTGTTTCAGTATTAGGGTTTTGACGTCACATCACTGCCTCGTTTTCAGAGGTCCGAAAAATCGTGGATTTCGATAATTTTTTATAAAACGTAGGGCGCTCACAGCAAGAAACGGTTTGCGGTGGTGAGCTAGTTTGGGTGAGTTCTATCGAATTATGAAATACATTTTTTTGTGATATAAGCCCATTGGGCGTCCTGATTCCGAATCCGTAGTGATTTTCAAGCTATTTCGACTCTTAATATCATTTTCCGGAAATCGGGGTGGTTCCATGGCTGTTGGCGAGCAGTGTATATCACTGAAGATGACCCCACTTGGTCATAGAGTGCATTTTTACTATATCTTTCGCTCCAGCAAATTTCAGGATCCCTACCCAACGAATACGTAAGATACAGGGGTATTTCCATTATAAGTGTGACAACACTGTTACGACGTTGCGATGACATTGAAAACTACGGGAAAACATGTCCAACTTTCAATCTATGCCAAGAGTTGGGATGATTTCCCGTAGATTTAAATATCCTCGCACCGTCATCTAATGACCTTTGCGACCACGAATTCGAAATTCAAAATATCAAGGTTACACATTTCAAACTTCCCGCACAATTACAAATCGTGTCACTTCAACACGTTTCGAAACCTGTTTCGACATTTTCAGGCACAGCGAACACCAGATTGGGCACCTCGAGGACCAAACGCACAGGGCCAGGGTACGCAAGCACGGCAGCAACTACCTGCTGGAGACCTACTTGAAGGGACTGCCTGAGGCGCTGGACCCAGGACAGGATGACGGCCAGACAGTGGACAAGAACAGCGATAGCGGGGTGGTGACAGAGGGCGATAGTGAGCAGTCGAATACCCATCCGAAATTGTCCAGGACTGCAGAGGTTTGTATTGTCGCAACTCAGATGGTTCTAGTAGGTTATATGGCATTATTGAGAACAAACGGCGCCTCCACCACGTGTCGCAACTCAGATGTTGACCCTCCTAAAGGTCGGAACTTAGCTTCCTAATAACACAATTATGTCCCATGCATATGGATATCCTTAGGACGTCCATAGACGTTTGAATTCGGTACCGTGGACGTCCATTGGACGTCTGTGGGACGCACAAATGTCCCACTTGAGGACCAACTAGGGACGTCGTCGAGGGATGTCCCTGAGACACCTATCGAATACCTAAATCCTACAGTATTCCTCATCAAGCACTACGGAGGACATCCTTAGGACATCCGTAGGACAACCTATCAGCAACTCTGAGGGATATCAATTGGATGTCCATAGGATGTCCCAGGGACGTACAAATTATTCTTGAATTTGAATTTTTCTGGGTCCCTCTAGGACCAGATCTTGCATAACTGATAAGGACATCCAGTTGAGTTGATGGTCCGTAGAAGGTCCCCAATGGACCCTGGAAAAGTTTCCCAAAGATGTCCAATGGACTTACGTGAAGGACAGTGACGGAAGTATATATAGCCTACGAGCAATCATTCGTCGGCGAGGTGTAAGTTAACGTCCTCGCAGGGACAACATATTGAAAGTACCGACTGGGACGTCCGTAGGACGTTATTTCTAGGACATTGAAAGAGTCCAGTTCATGCACCAATTGGGATATCCCACGGATATCCCTAAGGAAAATTCGAAGGATGTCATCATCAATCATATTCCATCAGTGGCATGCCAAGGACGTCGTTGCATGGACATTCTACAATATGTACCACATGGGACGTCTAATGGATGCTATTTCTTGGAAATTTCAAATGATGTACCTGCTGGAACATTCCGTGGACGTCCTTGCTCAGACATTCCACGAGATGTACGGGATGGGACGTCCCAAGGACACTTATTTTTGGTCTTGGACATTCGGACTCGAATCGTACCAAATAGGGATGCCCCTAGGACGTTGTGTGCTATTAGGGCTACTCGCTTGGCAAATAAAGAGTCAAGACAGTTTTCATATAGAATCTCACATTCATTGAATGGCCATTACCGTTCGATATTGCTTACCTTGGTATTATCGCACGGTAAGCGGTTTTTGCAAATTCTACAGGAACTGGACGTCTATGGATTCCGCTGACCTGATCGAAACTACACTGTACTGGATGTTTTGATTTATTTGGATCTTGATCACCCATTTCTAAGACGTAGGGTATTACATGAAGTTCTAGTCATGTTGTAGCCATCTAGTGGCAAAGCTCTAAGGTAGGATCAAGAGATCGCGACACACTCTGCATGGCACTGCCATCTATAGTCACACGTACAGACCTTTACGTCTATACGCTACAGAGTGGTACTACGAGTGAACCACTCTGCTGACAGATGGCACTACCTGATATACTTGAGTGGATTTTTCCACCGACCTATTCAACTGCTAGATCTCATAGCTAAGAGATCCAGGATGAACAGAGTTGCCCCAATTGTCAGCAGAAGCGAGAAAGTGCTGTTTCGACCCACCAGGTCTCATCAGCCGCTCTCGGTCTGCTGACAACTGGGACAACTCTACGCTTCGGGTATATCACCCATTTCGAAGACGCATATTGTAACAACTCTGTTCATCCTGAATCTCTTAGTTATGAGATCTAGCAGTTGAAGGAGAGAAAAGTCATGGTTACCAATGTCTAATACATAATCATAATTTCTAGACCATCTCCGAGAGACTCTCCCCCTCTTCCGAAGAGTTCCACAAAGACCTCAAGGATGACGACACCAGCTCCGCGATCAGCGAGACGAGCGTCAAGGAGCAGCTGCAGCTGTACGAGAAGATCGCGAAGCTGAACAAGCGGCTGCTGCAGCAGGAGGAGCACCTGGTGCGGCTGGACGCCAACCTCAAGAAGTACGACAAGGAGAAACGGGACGGGGACAACGTCCAGACACGGAAAGAATTGTGGTAAGAAATTCTGAAGGAAATAATAAAGTGCTCAAAGAAACGAATGGGCTACTCAGATTATCGACGTTTTTGCGATGTTTAATAGGATAAATTGGCCTTCTGTCGAATTGGCTGAATTTTTGATGTGTTATAGTCCAAGACATTCTGAACAAAATGTCCAAATACCAAACCGTTTTAATGGCTTGCTTTGGCGCTGGAGTCTTAATCTTGATTTCTTTTCTCCTGATAAATGAAGCTCTTTGAGCCATTATTATATTATTTTTTTATGAAATAAGTCACTACTAGAAGTATTCATTTATATTGTGTTGCTACTGGTCAACAATTATACAAGGTGTTCCAGCTATTATTGTTCAAGACAATAATGATATTCATAAATTTTATAGGAAAGGATTCCGGGAAATGAGAAATACTGAGCTGATATTTCTTCAATTTCATTTTAAATTTTTCTGCTTCTTCTATATTTTTCAACTCATTAGGTAAGGAGTTATACAAAATTATTCCATTATGGAATATTGATTATTTACCAAAATTTGACTTATAATTATTTGCTATCAATAAATTGAATTGCCTTGTTTCATGGGCGTGAATCGTATTAACTTCATTATTCAAATTCGATATTTTCAATTCCTTCCTGACAAAATGAATAAAACAATAAATTTTGAGTTTATATAATGAAACTAGATTCAGCAAGTCTTCAGGTTTGTATAGATTCGCAGTTGATTCTAAAAAAGGTAAATTGAAAATGCACTTTATTGTTTTATTTTGTAATTTCATGAGTGGCTTCAAACGTGAAATATTTGTACTTCCCCAAATAGATATTAGATATTGTATATTTGAATAAAAAAGACAGAAATAAATACTCTTTAGGTATTTAACAGGAATGAAATTTCGAATTTTAAATATAATACCAGCAATAGGATTCAATTTTTTTCTCAATTGATCTATATGTAGAGTCCACGATAGTTGTTCATCTATATATAGACCTAAAAATTTTGTTACATTTTTATATTCCATGGATTTGTTATTGAAACATATTGGGGTATTATTCAATATATCCATTGTTCTTTTTGAGATGTACATATACGTGGATTTACTATAATTAAGAGTCAACTTATTGGTCACTAGCCAAGATGATATTTGTTTCAAATCATTTTTAATATCATTATTGATATCGTTGAAATCTTTTGAAGTATAAATTATTGTTGTATCATCTGCAAATAATTTTAGTTTTCCTTTCAATTTTAAAGTAGATAATGAGTTGATATAGATTAAAAATAAAATTGGCCCCAAAACTGATCCTTGCGGTACACCACATGTAATATTCATCAAGGAACTACCAGTATTATTCACATCAACATACTGTTTCCTATTCTTCAAATAATTTTGGAACCAATCATGAATTTTGCCTCTGACACCTATTTTGATGATAATTTAGTCAATAAAATATTATGATTTACAGTGTCAAAGGCCTTACAGAGATCCAGAGACAGAATGTCGCATTTGTCATTGTCATCTATTCGTAACTGAATATCTGAAATTACATCCATCACAGCTACCACTGTGTCTTTTGACCTACGAAATCCATATTGTTCACTAAACAATAGGCCATTATTTTCGAGATAATTTATTAGACGGTTATTCATAATTTTTTCTAAAATTTTGGAAATGATCGGGAGAACAGAAATTGGTCTATAATTATTTAAATCATCTTTCTTCCCATTTTTGTGGATTGGTAAAACTTTAGCAATTTTCATTTTGTCAGGAATAATACCAGTTTTGAGCGATTTGGAAATTATGTTTAACAAAATAGGAGCTAACTCAAATTTGATTACTTTTACAATCTTAACAGTAATATAATCGAATCCACAGCATTTTCGAACATCCAGATTATCAATGATATTCTCAATTTCTGAAATATTCGTGGGAATTAGGAACATCGATAGAACACTTGAGCAATCTTTCACAGTGTCGGAAATTGTAGTAATTTTTGACGATAAATTTTGGCCTACATTGATGAAATGATATTCTTTACTACCTTGGTGTATAAATAGCTATTTCCGTGCAGCAACCTGACCAACCTGCGCACCGAGATGACGAAGACCTCGTGCGAGATGCAGCACAACGAGGTCGTGCTGGAGGAGGCCGCCGAGAGGCTGGAGACGAGGAGGGCGGTCCTGGAACGGCTGCACGAGGAGTTGGCAGGGGAGGACAGGGAGTACGAGATGCTGCAGGCGATGTTGCTCGCGAGGACGAGGGAGGAGGGGGAGAAGAAGAGGAGGAAGCCGTGCGGTGGAGTTTACCAAGCCAAAGAGTTGTTGGATACCCTTGTTTGAATAGTTTGTTAAATTGGCTCGAATGACTTTAGAATGCGTCCAGATTGTTTGAATGATGTATCGTCAGTTAAGTGAGTAAAATAATATGACTAGTCCAACCAGATTAATCAACTGAATGCTGAGCGAAAAATTGCGACGGTTTCGAAAATTTGAATTGAAGTGTAAAGCTTGCTCTTCTTTTTATATCATCAATAATATGGACCATACTACTATAGTTTCTGAATAAGTAATAATTCGAAGAGTAATATGTATGGGGAAGACAACGTGAAGGCCCATTTGTATCGTTTCCCAGAAGCTCCTTTCTGGATATTTTCTAGATATTTCCAGTAAGGAGAAATTGTTACTTCACTGATTGTAACTGGACCATGGTAAATTTCGATGATACATCATTGAGACCTGAAACCTCCTTTACAGGGTTATCAAAATATGGAAGAGTATCACGTTTTCCATTTCATCGGGACGGAAAATACATTTTTTTATTACATGAAGGAAAAATAAATTATCTTCTAGTCAATAATACTGATAGTTTGGTGACTTGAACAATTTTGTAGGTATTTTTAATAATGACAGAGGTACTATAATGGCACCAGACAGTCAATTTGAATGACTCTGTATACCTAATTGAGAAAAAATAGAGAATAATTCCATCTGGGTTGATCACTCCATATTTTGTGTCGATCCCTCGAATTTATAGGTTACTAAAGTAGTAGTTGTATTTGATACAATATCCAACCAAAAAGACATTATCAAAAGTGCACCCTGACATTTCTTTTCGTTATTATCATTTTTCAAATTTATTTAATACCAAATATTTTGTACCTAATAGCTTTATTATTAACAATATAGTATTAATGTTTATTGAAAGTCAAGTTTTGTTGAATTTTGAGATTATTTGTAATATATTATTCCGATTATACCAAAACGAGTTTTGATTCACAAGTCACAATAAGTGATTTCCCTAACTATAAGATGTATGAGGTCGTGTTGGAGGAGGCAGCAGAGAAGCTGCTGGAGGAAGAAAGAGGAGGAGGAAGCCGTGCGTTGGAGTTTATCAAGCCAAAGAGTTGTTGAATACTCTTCTTTAGATACTGTCTTAAAATGTAAAATTGGTTGACTGACATACTTTGGAATTCTCTTTGTTGAGTAAGGAAAAAGTGTGACTTTTATCGATGTTTTTTATCGACTCTCGATCCCACAGGAGATTTATATTGGGACAGAATCAAAGAAGATGAAATTTTATTGAAAAAATCCCACTGATAGTTTCTGTGGAAGTGATACTTTGAAAATTATATAGGGAAGACAAAACAGGGGCCTATTCGAAGTTTATAATCATGCGGTTTTCTTCCTGAATTCATATTGCTTTCCAGAAATTCGTTTCTGAATATCTTCGAGATTTTTTCAGTTAGGAGATATTGTTACGATAAACGGATGAAACGCTGGACCATCGTGTGCCATTTCCGGTAAGTTTTGAAGTTGAATCATTGAGATCTGAAACATCCCATACAGGGTTATCTAGATATGAGAGAATGAATAAACAATTGAGCATCGCTTATTCCAGTTTGGGCGGGAAATACATGTTTTATTACATGACCCTTATCCCTTGACTTTTCTTTCCGTTTGAATTTCAAGTTCCAGTCAACAAAACGTTATGGCTTGAACAACTTTGTATTTTTAATTTGGACGACCCTGTATACCTGGTTAATAAAAAATTAGGAATACAAACAGGAGCCGTTCCATCTGGGTTGATCAAGCAGTATTCTTCATGTCGATCCCTCATCAGACGTGTATGGTTTCTGAAGTAGTATAGGTATTTGACACAATATCCAATCAACAAAGACATTTATAGAAAAATGAGGCATTTCTTCTTATTACTATTTTTCAAATTAATTCAATACCAAATATTTTGTACCTTAAAGCTTTTTTCGTTGAACTCGACAAATCTAATTTTCGAAATATGGGATCTTGTCAAAAAAAACTTGAATCTTCGCCTCTCAATGCATAGAAGCAGACATAACGAACACAAAAGACTATGATGATATTATCATTTTTCAATGCTGAAATTGTGCACCATCCTGTTCAACACCATATTGAAAACAAGAAATACAAAAAGCTTGATTCTGATAAAAAATTCATCTTGCTATAGATTACTAGAACTTATACTAGATATACTTGTTTCCTCTTGCTCGATCACTTGTTGAAGTTTCTGCATTTGTACAAATTGGTTCACTAGTTGAATATGATACATTTTCTGAACTAGCATGAGCTCAGTCCTGCAAGCGCACCTAATTTATCGATTTGGTAAAAAAACTGAAATACTACTGTTCGTATTAACATTGAAAATACAAGACAAACTATATAGAGCCATTGAGTATTCACACTCAAGGATAGAGCCCAAAATGTGACGATCACATATATAATTTACCGTCTGCCGTCTTTAGTCTCTAATAAGTATATTAGTCTAATCGCGAGTCTAATCGAGTCTGATCTGGTCTGAGTATGATCTGGTCTGAATATGATCTGGTCTTAGTCCGATCTGAATCTGATCTGGTCCTAATATGGTTCCTAATAACTGCGCATGAGTGAGTGATACGTGGGAAAAGATGAAATGGCGGCAAGAATGAAGTGGCATACACTCATGAAAAATATAAATCCGGCACTGCGATCATGCGAATTATATACAGTGTGTCCCTTAATTTCAGTGCTCTTGTAAAACATATAATGAACAAATTCGTAAAATATAGAAGAAATAAGTTTCGAATCTTATTTTCTTCTGGGCATTTGACAAACTTTTGTAGCGGACGTCATAACTCAAACGTAGATTATCCTGTATATTCAATTTTCCTTCACAAATGTGGTAAATTTAGATATAAAATGAACTCATTTCAAGAGATTTGTCAGAAATTAATATTTTGGCTAAAAATGAATGTATTCAGCATAAACTTCACGAAAACTCCGTATAGGTATAAATAAGTACCTTTATTGAGCCTCCTCTAGGTTTAAATTATATGTGGATATATATCTATTTCAATGCCGCCCTGTATAAGCTCGTTGAGAATGAATAACATTCTATTATGCTGCCTGTGGAAATGTATTTCAATTCATTAACCTTATCCTGAGTTATCACCCTGTATGTGTCACGTACACTTTCACAAACTGCGCAGGATATCCCCCCTCAACTGATTGATCAATTGCAGGATTGTAGACATGCACATAGAGGGTGGTCCACTTTATAGTAGCAAAACTTCGACAATCGATAGATCTTATCTGAAGAATATTATACTTAGTCGTAAGAAGCTTATTTCTCGAGATACAGAGCGTAGAAATTGAAAATAATCTTACAATTATTTTTTAAATATCTTGTATGAATTATCGTTACATGGCGAAACTTAGTCTGTTATGGTGCCAACATTCGAAAATGATACCTATTCTGGTTATCTACTATAATCGTAGCAATTGTCTTGAATGAACTAGGTATTCGACACACCTACGAACACCAAAATTTGTGATCAAATCAGGTTTTTTCATTATCCCTCGAAAAGGGTGCGTTATATATATAAACTTAACATTCTTTCACATTTTATAATACACTATGAAAATTTTTTCATCAATACCTGTTGTAATCTATACTAATATTATAATGAGGAAAGATTTGTTAGTTTGTTTGTTTGTATCGAATAGGCTCCGTAACTACTGGACAGATTTGAAAAATTCTCTTACCATCAGAAGCCGACATTATCCCTGATGAACATAGGCTACTTTTTACCGCGAAAAAATGATTAATTCATACAGGAAAACGGGTAATAGAACAACGGGTAGTATTTCGATGGTTTCCTGGATGATTCCAAAATACAATTGGACGCGGTAGGCATCTGTCTTGGGTTGAGATTTTTAATAAGTAAAACATCAAAATAAAACAAGATATTGAGAAAATGCAATAGGTGTAAGTATACAGGATGATTCACGGTGGATGACACATAAGACGTTTCTGGAGAACGCAACGTTGGATTATACTGAAAATTTGGTCAAGAATTTCTTGTGTCGAAACTATTAATAATTAGTCGAAACGGTTTTCATGACCCTATCTCACCTTTTCATGTAGTATTGATTGATATTTGATTGAAATAGGTACAGGGTGGTTCAGAATTAAGATTTTCAACCACCCTGGGTCTATTTCATTTAAATATCAATTGATAGTACATGAAAAGGTGAGATAGGGACGACACAAGAAGTTGAAAAATCTCGATTTTTCACACCCCATATCTCTGTAATTGTCACTGCTAGACCCCAAGTGTTGTAGGTCAATAAAATCAGCTCTTCAGGGGGAATTTGGAAATGGAATAATATACAGGGTGTCTCTTTCAAAAACTCAAAATTGTTGCTACTTTTCAATATAAGCGGCAACGTCGCAGCGCTGGGAATATTTTGGATCGATAAAGCTCCACTGATTATCCAAGGCACCAAATTTTCAGAATAATCCCAAGTTACGTTCTCCAGCAACGCCTAATGTGCCTTCCACCATGAAATCAGCCTGATGTATAATATAGTAGCTTTAGGTAAACACGAACAATTTAAACAAATAACAAAAAAATATTTACTGTAGACACGCGCATAGCTCAGAACATACCTGCAACAAATGTCCACTATTTTTTTTAAATGAGTACACCAACCGTACAGCTAGTACGTAATAATAACATTGATAATGTCCTAACGACGCCACTGGTACTCATATAAGCTGAAAATTATTACGAATGTAGTATAGATACCTACTTAGTAGGCCAACAGAATATCTCGTATTTTTGTTGAGCGGTTTTCTAGTAATTGAAGGAAAAAAAAATTTTTCTTTCAACTTGAATGCCCTGTATCTCGAAAATAAAGCGTCTCTCACGACCAATCTTTATAGTAACTTTTATTCTGAAAATAGGATATTCTATCATTTATCGACATTTTGCTTCTATAAAATGGACCACCCTGTCTATGCAGTTTTAGTCAATAAGCACGGAATACCCCTACAGTCACATACAGTTCAGAATTCAGACCGTTCTCTCTCACTCCACTGCAAATACATTATATTCCTTCTTTTTCAGTTTTCAATACCATTCGGTTTTGATCGCACTGTAGTCAAACAAAATTCCATTATTGTTTTGAAAGGCGAAGTTAAAAGTCATTGCTGTCAAACTTATCAAATTATCACATTCAGCAAAAGTGTAAACAGTATTCATCAGTAGAGAATAATAATTAAATTACATTGTTCGTCGTTATCAACAAGTTTATATTGAGAAAATGCCTTCCCCATGCGAGTCTTGCAAAGGTATGTAAATTTTTATTTTTATTATATTGCATCGGTTGATGCAGTCGATTTTTCTTTGTGAAAAGTGAACGAGCTGAAAAATTTTGTAGTTAAAAAATTTAGATAATTCTGCACTTATTATATATAGGAATCATTCACCACTATTTATAAAAATATAGGTAGGTAGGTATGGAAAAATTCGGAATTTGGGTTTCTAGTAATTCTCATTTCTGTTTTCCTTCTGCTAGTATATAGTTTATACCTATTTGACGAATTTTGAAACATGCATGATTTTATTCAAAAAATGGGCTACTGTTCATTTCATCTGAAGAATATTCCATAAAATAAGGTCACAAGTTCGTCCAATGATCAGAAAATTCATATTATTTTATCCGATTTGAGAGATGATGTCAATGCTCTCTTTTTGGATGTTCAACAGATACCTATAATTCAATGTTCGACGTGGCAAATAGCCAGGAGAGTAGTTTTTTTCTGTTGAATATTCAGAATGATATTATGAGCATATCTTTATATGAAGGAGCATGCAAATTCTCTACTTCAGAAGATTTTGTTTTCAAATTCTCATCGTCTATGTTCAATAGATGTAATTCAATCTTCGTCGTGGC